TGGACTCAAGGGGAGTCTGAACGAGAGAGAGAGAGAGAGAGAGAGAGAGAGAGAGAGAGAGAGAGAGAGGAATCTAGAATTCACTGTAGTAGTTTCTTTACTGAAAATGAAACCAGACTAGACAGCAACATCAAATAAACAACCAATGTGAGAAGCTGAGGTATTGTTTGGTGAAACTTCTGTTGCTTCACGTGTGTGAGACAGAGACGGATGATGCAGTCTCATTTCCTGTGGGTTGCTGTCTACACTGAAAATCACTTGCCTAACCCACCCACCTCACTGGAGAGCAGAGCTTGGGTGTTAAGGATGCCCAGCTGGTGTCTGGCAAGGCTAGCATGAGAACCAAATTCCTTGTCCCCAGGCCAGCCTCAGTGCCACCCAGCAGTGGTCTGGGATCAGTCTTGGGGGTAGAAGGGGGCTTCCTAGTGGCTTCTGAGGAGCAGAAGGAGCAAGCAGAGGTTGGCACTGGGGAGTGATCGCTTTGCAGTCTGTGTGGATCTTTTGTCCCATACTGGGATAGCTGAGGTCCAGGCTCAGTGCTGCCAGATCTTTCTGTGCAGCAGGGTTCTTTGCAAAAGGACAGCAAAGTAGAATTCACCTTGGTTTATGTTTGCCTCCCACCCCTTCTACTTTTAACTTTTTTTTTTTTCTGCGAAGATGCTAGCCCTGGAATTAGTGGGTGGCTTTATCACTGAGCTGCTTCTCCAACCCTTTTTATTTTGGGTACAGAGTCTTCCTGAGGTGCTGTGTTGGGACTTAGACTTGGGATTCTCATGCCTCAGCCTACCTCAGTGCTGAGGCATGGCATCATGGCAGCCAACTAATGAATGTAATATCGTTAAGCCCAAACATGGCTAATATCTAAACATAGATGTGTTTGAGGCCTGTCATCAAATAGAAAAAACATAGAAGTTGAGATTTGAAATTTCAGTAGCAGGAGGTCTGAAGATATATGTTTATTTGAAAGATAGGGGACATTAGTTATTAATGTCACGATCATTTCTCTGGAATAGTAAGTGTTTCTGAGTAAGTTTGTGGTGATCAATATTAATGAAAATGAAAGAGGAAGAAAAATGTCTTCAAAAATGTCAATCGAAGAGTAAGAGATATTTTTACATGGGAATGTTTTACTCACACTTTTCTGATGTAGTAATATCTAAATACTCATAAATGCCCCACACATCAGCTAGTCTTGTTGATATAAGGAAAATAAACTAAATTCTTTTCCAGACCCCTCTTGCCTGACCTCAATTTAACCAAGCCAGATTAATCTTTTTAACATGTGTTAAGAGTAAAACAAGGCCACTTCCTGCAAGGTAAAGCAAAAAGTTATGTTATTTAATGAAGCGTTTCTACTGAATACTTTTCTTGACTCCAAGAAAAGACTCCCTTGCCTTCGGAGCTGGGGTTAAAGATCTCTGCTATTTATAGGAAAGACTGTGGTAAAATTTAATTTTAGTTGGGAAACTCGGGTATAATTCCAGATTTAGATCATCATACAATTCTCATGTGACCATAGGGCAAAAGAAGAGAGCTGGTTTTTTTTTTTTCTTTTTTTTCTCCTGGAACATGCACACGGTCTTACAAATATTTTTAGAGACAAAATTCTTTTTTTTTTTTTTTTTTGCGGAACCGGGGCTTGAACTCAGGCCTTTGCGCTTGCCAGGGAAGCACTTATTCTACTGAGCCTTCTCTCCAGCCCCGACGAAATTCTTTGAACAAAATGAAGAGGGATTGAGCATTTAAAAGTGTTGATCTTCTCCAAATTTCTTTTCTTATTGGAAAAAGTACCTGCATCTTAAGTAATTTTTTTCTCACCAGTATGTGAATTGACTTCTATTATTTGCTCCTTTAACAAATTACCATAAACTTAGTTGGACAACCTAAGTGTTTGAGGTTAGGAGTCTGACATGGGCCTTTGAAATTACACTGAACCCCAAATTTAATTTCAGAGAATTCTTCCTGCCTAGAGCCAAATGGCTGAACCACCTCTAGTTCCCTGTGCCCCAGCATGGCAGATTCTCAGGTTCCAGGAATCAGCATGGGGGACTTATTCTGCCTAGCATAGGGTGTCCTACCAGTATTAAGAAGAATCATCCCAGAGAGGACTATTGCAATTTGAGTCTAGATATCTGTGTACTGTCATCACCTCAGCTAGGTTCCGATTCCATTACTCACTGGGAAAAAGTACAGCAGCTCTTAAGAGGCAAAGAATTCTTCTTTTACTTGCCCCGATATTCCCTTATATAGCACTCCTTTGCCAGTAATGATTTTGTCATTATGTTGTTAGAACTACCCTCTATGGCCAGGCCCCTGCATTATAATCTCAGCAATGTAGGAGGCAGAGGTGGGGGATCACAAGCTTGAGCCTAGCCTGGTGCAATTTGGTATTTTAGAGAAATCCTGTCGTCAAAATATAAAATTTTAAAAGGGCTCAGATTGTAGCCAAGTGCTAATGCTTGGAGTTCAATCTCTAGTACTGCAAACAAATAATACTAAACATAATGCTATTCTTTATGGCTAAGTGAATCTTAACCTCTGTGGCCTCCCTAAATTTATCAAGCTGGAGAAGGTTCAGATGGCTTAGCCCTGTGTCTCTCAAATGGACTAATTCGCCCTCCCCGCTGCTGGGATTCTGGCTGGCACAGCTGGGGGATGGTCCTAGTTAGTATCTAGTGGGTAGAGGCCAGAAAGGGTCACAGTCCCCTCTGCACACAATTGCCCACTCTAAAGCTTCAGTAGTGCTAAAGTGGAGACCTTCACGTGGAAACATGATAGAAGGCACCCCTCCCCCCACTGCTGCTGCTGCTGCTGCTTCTGCTGCTGCTTCTTCTTCCTCCTCCTCCTCCTCTTCCTCTTCCTCTTCTTCCTCTTCCTCTTCTTCCTTCTTTTTTACAGTACCAGGGATCAAACTCAGGACCTTGTGCATGCCAGTCAGGCACTTATGCCACTGAGCTGTCTCCCCAGCTCAGAATTAATGTATTTGGTACAGGTCTCACTCTGCAGCTCAGAGGCAGGGCCGGCACAGCATGCAGTGCCAGGGATAGAACCTAGTCCTTGGGCTTGCCGGGACAGTGCTTAGACCGCTGAGCTATTGCCACGGTCCTCTCGTTTTTGACATTACCTCTTTATATATCAAAGAATTAGGTATTATAATATAATAATTAGATATAACGTGATTTAATATTAGTACACTAATTAGAATTGGATTAATATATTAATTGAATTAGATGTTTTATCATTCTGACAATAAATTAGCAAGTAATATATGTTGGAAAAGATCAGTTGGAGCTTGGCATGGTGGTACATACCTATAGTTCAAGCTACTTGGGAGGCTGAGGCAGGAGGATCACTAGAAGCCAGTCTAGCCAGGGAAACACAGCATAGCTGTATCTCAAAAAAAGAAAACAAAACCAAAACCAAAAGATCAAATGGAGGGGGAACGACCCGCTCGGGCCCCCCTCCTGTCCCTCTCTTGGACAGGAGCTTTCTTTCCCTCAATAAATATATTGTGCTCATAACCTCCGTTTGTTCCTAAAATTCATTCTTCGGTTTTAGCGAACACGGACTCGTCCAGGTCAGGTTTCTCCACAGAGCGTCTATCTGATGAGCTAACACGCAGTATTCTGCCTCCTGCCTGCACCCGAGCTGCGGCCCCTTCTTTCCTGGCTACATCCTGGCTCCTGCTGGGACTTTCCATTCCTGGCCAGCTGCCAGAAGCTCCCAAGGCCACCTTCTGAGAAGAGCAGCAAGAGTGCACTTACACAGATGTCAGTTTCAAGGAAAGAGAAAAACGAAGTGAACTAGTGGAGAATAAAAAGAACCTGAAAACTCTACACAGAGAAAGGAACCTGGCGGTTAGCGGCTCATCCCTCTTGGTCAGAGAAGTGCTGGCACTGGTGTGTGCGGACCTGGCACCTCTTGTGAAGCGGCAGCTAAGAAGAATCAGGCTTTCTCTATGGCCGCTGAAGAGCCCAAGAAGGAGTCAAGATTGAGAACAAGGATCACATTAATTTGAAGGTGGCGGGGCAGGATGGTTCTGTGGTGCAGTTTAGGATTCAGAGGCACACACCATTTAGTAAACTAATGAAAGCCTATTGTGAGTGACAGGGTTTGTCAGTGAGGCAGATCAGATTCCGATTTGATGGACAGCCAGTCAATGAAACAGACACACCTGCACAGTTGGAAATGGAGGATGAAGATACAGTTGACGTGCAGTTGACGTGCTCCAGCAGCAGACAGGAGGTGTCTACTAAAAAGGGAACCTGCAACTACTCCAGAACTCTGTTCTTACAGACCAAGAATACATTTTCAATTAGAAAACTGCAATTTGGTTCCACCACATCCTGACTACTACAGTATAGTTTTCTCTATTCTTTCATTTACCCCTTCCCCATTCCTTTATTGTACATAAAGTATCTGGTATATGTGCACAAGCATATTGCTTTTTTTTTTTTTCTTCATTAAATGACCAACAGTATGTTTTGATTGACATCAAATGGAGATGAGATGGGGAATTACTGGTTCTGTGAAAATAATCCCCTTTCTCCATTAGTGGCGTGCTCATCAGCTCTTATCTTTATATTCCAGTACTTTATTTTGCTCTCACTGTTTTAACAGAAAAGACAGCAACATAAAATTCCTTGTATACTCTGTTTGATTGGAGAATTTTAATGTTTTTCATTTATCATTGTAAAACCAAGGACAATTTTATAACTTTTTCGTACATAGCTGTTGCATGTAGGGCAATCTGTCTTTAAGTAGGAGTAAATTACTCTTTAAAAAAGAAGAATCCTAGATAGTTTTCCCTTTAAGTGTCTTGTTGTTTAAATAAACTTCTTGTTTAAAAAAAAAAAGATCAAATGGAGGAGACAAGCTATGTGGACTGGTGCACGCTGACGTATGTGAAATGGGAAAGGTGGTACACAAAAAGAGAAGCATGGCTTTCAGACTTCCTGTACCTCAGATCCTGATCTTCTCTTCTTCTGTCAATAATGCAGGTGTCCCTGGCTCTATGCCCAATGCATCCTGGACCGGAAACCTTCGAGCTGTAAAGTGGTTTGACATGGAAGATAAACATGGAGGCTGTCATGGTGAGGCCTTTATTTCATGCTTACTGGCCAGACCACTGTCAGTGTCAGTCTAAGGGTGGCTTAGCTACACAAGAGCATTGTGGAGCCAGAACCGTGACTGAGTTTAATCTGCCACCACCACTGTCTTCCTCTGTGGCTTCTCTGTGGGTTGGTAAGGCAAGATAGGATTATTGGGGCTGGCATTTTTGATCTCTGGTTTTCAAGACCTAGTCTCTTCCTAACAAGTTTAAATATCTCACAGACATTCTCCAGCTTAGAACTACCTACAGACTTGCAGAAGTCATTTCAGGTTATAATAATATTTCCTCTGGCTAGTGTCTGCTCTCTTTGTTTATACCTCAAACTCCTTCAGGGAGTGGAGCTATCTGGAGGGGTCTTGTTCTCCCCACAGAGCAAGCTGGGTCCTTGTCCCTCGTGCCAGCCTCGGCTTCCCCTGGAATAGACCGGAGCTGCGGGTGTTGGCCGCAGCACAGGCACAGTGGTTTTCAAGACCTAGTCTCTAGGAGACTAGGAGCTGGAGGCCCTGGGCCATGTCCATGCCTGTGATCTACTGAGGAGGGCTGTAGCAGTCCTGGCACTCTTTGCGTTCCCAGCCTTGCCTGGCACACAGTGGGCGCGGCCCTTGCATTAGGCCGATGCACCCGATGGGCGGTCAGTGTTCTCCAAGGTTCAGATTCTGTCACAGCGCTTTGTAGAGGTGGGGACGCAGGCAAGCGCCTGGGGCATTGGAGGTGTGGGGCCCTAGGAGAAGTGATGCCACACACACACACACCAACTGAGGAGGGCACAGGCTCCGTGCTGGTTCTCATCCACTAATGGATTGCCTGGTGACACCTATTACACTGTGTCCTTGAATTATTATTATTTTTTGTTTTGCTTTGTTTTGGTTTTTTTTGAGATAGGATCTCACTGTGTAGTCCAGGCTGTCCTTGAACTCATGGCAGTCTCCCTGCCTCAGCCTCCCAAATGCCAGGATTTGGGTCTGTGCCACCACGCCTGGCTTCCTTTTATTACAATTCTCATCTTATTCAAACACATAGCAATACCTCCTGTCCTCTGAAGTAGAGCTTAGGCTCCCCAGGAGTGGGATGACTGAACTGTGTTTCATTCGAGTCTCTTGATCCTTGGCACCAATTTTGCCAGCCACGATAAGCCAGTTGTGCCTGCCTGACTCCCCATGCTGCCTTCTGAAAACAAGCATGTTCTGACTGTGTTCTGTTCTCTCCCTTGCAGGCCACTATGTACACGGCATTTGTATCTATGGAAACGGAGACTTAAAGTGGCTGATGAATTCCCCCAGCCTATTTGCTAACAAGTTTGAGCTCAATACTTACCCCCTCACTGTGGAGTGCCTGGAGCTGAGGCTTCGAGAAAGAACCCTCAATCAGAGCGAAACTGCCATACAGCCCAGCTGGTACTTTTGACCTACAGCAGCTCACTCCTGAAGGGAAACACAGTTGGCAGGAGGAGCTGGCTTTGTAGGAGACTTGTCTTGGTGACAGTAAGGGTTTTAAGACTGCGGGAATGGCGACTTCAAGCCTGGCAATGTCATTAGACACAACACACCCACTGGATGTTGTGAAGGATGTGCTGATACCAGCGGGATAGCTGTGTGGAGCAGTCCTGGCACTTTGGCCAGTCTGGCAGTTTCCTAATGCCCACGTCTGTGTTAGGCTGTTATTCTGATCAGTGATAAACTGAGATGTCACCAGATCACTTCATAAAATGTTCCTCATAGAAATAGGTCCCAGAGGAGAGAGAATGGTAGGTCGTATTGTACAGGAAAGTGGGAATTGAGTCTCTGGAGGAATCTTTGAGGGCGCATGAGCAGCCTCTGCCCTGCTTACGCACACACAGGCAGAGGCGCCCCCCTTACACAGGGTGGATCTCATTCCCGAGGTCCAGTACTATGCGTCACTTCACCTACTAGAGGTGTGCATGCAGTTAGACCTCTGAAAACCAGAGACAGAGCCATTGCTGCCGCAACAAAAGGACCTCAGCAATGCAAAACAGTTCTCTGCTGAATGCCGTAGGGCTCAGCTTTTCCTTGCTTCCCATCCAGAGCTGAGAAACCCCCTCAAGGATGGAGATGTCTTGCCAGGGGACATGTGCATGTCCAGCTTGGAGCTGGGGATGCCTCAGAGCAAACACGTTGCCTAACTCCTCCCCCACTGTTATTCTCCTGACAACCAGAGACCAGATCCACCGGCAAGGCTTCACCACGGCATGGTGGTGAGGCCCGGAGCTGAGAGTTTCCATTGTGGGCGAGCACCTCCACGCAGCCCCCATGCACGCACTTAGCCCACATGCAATGAATATTTGAGGGCCTAGGACCCTCTGAGTATATGCCGAGACAAGAGGGACAGCAGGACGGAAGCTTTCACTGCATACCTCTCAGAAATAAAGCTGGGTGTGGCAGCACGATCTTTCCTAGTTCGGAGTCTGAGATGGAAGGATGAAGGATGCTCTGCGTTTGCATACCAGGGACAGACTGACACAGACACACACACGCACAACTCCAAGTGGATGTAACCTGCTGTGGAGCCTCGGTGTGATCTCATGTTGTGATATCAGACAAAGGAGGTTATCAGCAGCAGAATTAAATCCGATCACTTGGAAGGAAGCAGCAGGGGACAGTGGAATCCATCTCCAGCCTGCTGCATTCTAGCTGTTCCACAGGCCTCCTCTTCACTTCATGCAAACCTCAGAAAGGTCTCACGTGGTTCTCCAAATCACCCCCATTTTGCAGATGGAGCAGCTGAGGCCTAGACAGAGTAACATGCATCAGGGAACTAATTCTCTACTGAGAATAGGGATTCTCTTACGGGTCTTTTCAGTTCATTTCCTGAGGTGGAATATCAAGAGAAGGTGAAATAAAGCCATATTTAATATAACAGAACAGGTAAATTTTAAGAAGGGTCTCAGTGTTAATATTGAGAAAAAGTCCTGGCACCTCAGAAAAATGTGAAGTCTACATTAGTATGCTAGTCCAACGTTCCTAAATATTTATTTATTCTCTTGAAAAACACGCAACTGATACGTTTAGTTAACACAGTTTTATTTTTTCTATAATTGTACCTGTTGAATGTTAATCACATTTAAAGGGAATGACTTCAATGTAAAACTCTTTGTCTTGCTACTGAAAAAAGTGGAATTGCATGGGGTATGGAAGAGCGGAAGGAGAGCGTGGGGTCCTGGACGGGGCTGGCGGCGAAGAGTTGGTGTCTTTCCAACTAACTATTTGAATGACCCAGTCTGGGAAGAGGCTTTGTTCCACACTGGATCTTTCTCATGTAGCATGAGAAATTTTTCTGGATCAGAAGATGTTTACATGTCTGTTGGCCATCTCTGTGTAGCTTATGTCCTCATCATATTGAAGAGTGGAGTGTGAGCTGCTGGGTGTCCACCGGCCCACACACGTCCTGAAACTACTGTAGCCATCTTTGTTTTTGGTGATGTTCTGGTCTCCCCCACCCCCTGCCAATAAATTAATGCCTTGTTTTTCCACTTTGGCGGCTATTGTGCATGTTTATTTGATGGCTGATTAAAATCTATAAGAGAGCATGTTCTACTCAGCAGTTTTCCCAGCATGATAAGAAAAAGGGTAGTTCTGTGGTAGAGCACATGCTTGACCCACAACAGGCTCTGGGTTTGGTTCCCAGCATTGCAAGAAGCCAAGACAGTGCATCCATCCGTGCATACCTGCCTAACAATACCCACCTACTGAAAAGCATGAGACTTTCCCTTGTGGTTGTTGAGAATAATGGGAATGATAGAGAAGAGAGTGAAGCAGGAGATCAGTGTTGCTTAAATTAAGTACAACTATTTTAAGAATTGAGGCAAGAATAAATTAATATTTTCTTGACTTTTATCCCAAGATACAGTTCAGGAAAGCAATTCATGTTAATATTATCATAACAAATGCTAAAGCTTTTGAGTAGCAGCATTTCAGCTATAAGTTTGTTAAGTACTATCTAGTGAGCACATGGAAAATTATAACTATTAAAATAATATTTAAGCAACTCCTTATATACCATTTTTAAATGAATAAAGTATTTCCCTTTTTTTGAGACAGAGTCTCATTATCTAGTCCAGGCTGGCCTTGAATTATCTTTGTAGTCCAGGCTGCCCTGAAACTTGCAGTGATCTCCTGCCTCAGTCTCCCAGTGCTAGGATTACTGGCATGGACCACCACACTGGGTCTCGGTTGCGGCTGGGTGTGCTTGGGGGCAGGGCCAGTGTGCCAGGGATTGAGGCCTGGTCCCTGGTCCCTGCACTTGCCTAAGCAGATGCTTAGTTTACTGAGCTATCATGCCAGCCCGCCTGGCTCTTTTAGACCTTTTGAAAACAAATTTTATTTTAGAATAGCTAGAAGGAAATACAGGGATAATACATATGCTGACATTTAGTTCTCCCTACTATTAATATTACATTAGGTGGGGGGGGGAACATTACATTAGTATTGTATGCTAGTTAAAAGTAATGATCCAGTGTTGGCATTATTACTAACTGAACATCATACCTGAGATTTCCCTACTTTTTACTGCCTCACCATCACTTCCAGGAGCCCACGTTACACCTGTTTTCCTTATTTCCACAGACTCCTGGTGTTTGTTGATGACCTTGACGATTTTGATGGACACTGACCACACACTTTATAAAATGTTCCGAATTTGTTTTGCCTGGGGTTTTTCTCAGTTCAGCTGGGTCTGGGACATGGGGAAAGGAGATATGGAAGTCAAGAGCCATTTGTCCATCCTGTCCAGGGCCTCTGTTACCAACTTACCCC